TATGAGCGAAATGGCAACGCCAGGGTCATCCTCTCCAGCCAGAATCCAGGAAACTGCATTACCGGCATCACGTCACGTGACTGTTGCCTGGATTCTCTATGTCTAAGTGTAAAAATATCGAATATGGCGTTTGTTTTGGTTAGCATCCAAATTATCACAACTTTCCGAGATGTTTAGTTAAAAATGAGTATAAAATATAAAGCAACACTATCAGTATCTGTGATGTTATGCGTAAGATGCATTGTGACTTGTGGGAGATGCAGAAGTTCAGGAGATTCTGTCATGAAGTGCATCAGGTAGGCTGTGAACTTAACATATAGGCGTGTGAAGTAGATTATTTAAAATAACATCTTTGGAATCAGCCTCTTTATAGTCCTTGTAGTTGGAACCATTAAAGTGCGAAAGCTTTTTTTATATTAAATTGCATATGGTAATATTGACAGAGTAAATCACAAAGCCTATAAACCAAAATTCAACCTATCTAGAAAAACAAATTAAAGGCATAGAACTGAACAAACTAATATATAAATTATATTGGTGCGTTCTGTATTATTTCAAAACTATCAAGAAGCAATACAATGAAGTGTGGCACCTGTATGCTGGTAGCACAACATGAATTTGGAATAAATCTATCTATATTTTCATGTAACAAATTTTGTATACCATTGCCAAAAAAGATGTTTACGGCATGTTATCATTTTTTGAAAATAAATGTATTTTGAGCATCACAATTAGTATTAGATTTTGTTATTCTGAATCTTGTTCTCAGCAAAACTGCTGAAACAGATATGTGTATTACCCTTATTGTGGATATATTATGAAATATTCATTCATGAAATATTTCTTCAATATCGGAAATATTATTTTCAGCAGATTTCGAATTATGAACAAACGGCATCCCCAGCACATTTCTGGCATGCCTTATTCCAGGCGCATCCTTGGCATTATTTTGATAGTTCCTCCAGATCTCCAGGCAAGTAAGCGCCGCTGCCATTTGACAAACGTCAACTGTGTCGCCATTGTTTAGCTTGCAGCTCCCACTTCTTCAGCTTTATGTGTTTTGTGGTTTCTCCCATGAACTGACTGACCTATGATGCAGAAGATCATAGCTAAAAGAACTGTGGAGCAATTACAATAATGAAGAAGATGGAAAGTTCTCCACCGTAATGCCATTTTTCGCACTTGTTTTCGGTTCTGAACTGCTTATTATCAACTTCGCAGCTTTGAAATTGCTCTATCTATATTTTAAGTTTATACAGTTAAAGAACGTTTGAAAATGAAAATGTCCTTCAGTTTAAAACGCTTTCGCATACTAAATCTTTGAACTACTTGTGAAATAAGTTCTAAATATCACTATCGTAATATATAACTGGATATTTTGTGGTATGTAGTTTTAGTGAGAAAAAATTCTATAACTGTACATATCTAGTACTCGTACTCTTGCCTAGTCTCTCACTATGCCGCTATTGCGTTTCACATATCTGTCGGTGTTGGTTTTGTGATTATACTGCGTTACTTGTCACCGTGTCAATCACTAAGCCCACCGATTGTGACATGCACCCAGAACTCGGATTTTTAACGCAAAAAAGTTCGTCCTGTTGAAACTCTCGAGTAGCTTGTTGAAGTTATTATTGAAGCTCTGGGGCACTATGCAAAACCGCCAGCGGGGCCTGGCCAATGCTGCGCCTCACGTTGTGGCAAGAGCACAGACGCAGCTGGACAAGGTCCATTGGGAATCACTGGATCATTCAACGAACAGCGCTGGCTTAGCAACATCAGAAAAAATACTAGCGCGATTGGCCTATAGTTTTCAACAACATAATTTTCGCCTTTTTTAAATATCTCAATTAACAATGCGAGTGCTAATGGAAATTCATTAGAAGCAACCGACTTATTAATGATGTCCGCTAATACTGGGACAATAGCGAATGATGCTGAGCAAGGTTAATGATGTCAGAAGTAGACTAGGGAACCAATTGTAGCTTCATACTTGCTCGGGTAGACATGTACATGGGTGCGAGCATGTATTTATGTTGTATTGAAGTACTTATCACCCTATTCTAGTTCGCAAACTTGCATGCATAGTCTGCATAATTTGCATTCTCTACCATATCATGTATGATTGCGTGATATATGAGGTTCTTGATTATCATTGTGCTGACCAGTATGTGAATACGGAGTGACAACATAAATGATCGCACATTTTTCGTAGTATATATATAACGAGTACCACATTAAATTTGAACCCCTGTGATATTATGTATTTATTGCTTAACGGCAAGAACTCTTATATATCTCTACAAATCGGCCCTTTGAAGAAGAAGCGGATCCTAACTTTATTGCAGGTCGAAAGGCCTGTACGCCTGCCATAACGAAAAATATATATTTACCACCCCATTTACAAGGGAAGTTCAAATAAATAAGGCTGCAATAACTATTTAAGGCAAGCTTTATGTTTACAAGCGCTCAGTAATTTTTAGTGTCAAAATAATATATCCTAATTTTATATTCGTGGGCGTATACGGAGTGGGGTTTATTACTATAATTCCATGAGGAATCGGGATATTTTTAAATTTTTTGGGGGTTTTTGAATCGAAACTGTTCCATCTGAATAGTCAAAACGTTACTAAACCATTTTATACGTTAAAAAACAGCAACATCTTTTCAGCATTTTGGTCTGAAAGTTATTATGCAGCGTGATGCTTTAGCATAGCATAGCTTTAGCGTTTTAGAATTAACTAGGAGCAAAATTTGCTATAAGCACAATCGGAAGCAAGTACCGTCGCCACATTAATAAGCTCTGCGAAGCCATACATTGGATTACAGAATTCTTATTCATAAGTAAACATCGGATGAATATTCAAATGTTCAATTCACCTTAATCTTTCGTCCACTTATATGCTCAATACGTGCTTAGAGCTAATTGTCTTGACTTATAATCGTCGTACCGTTCAGCCAGATGCGCTATTAGACGTATATACAGATAGATCTGGGGCTGTACTCAAATCTCGTTTGCGACACTGGAATTTTATTTTTATGTCATCGTTTGTCACTGTGATCTTAAGATGGCTGTTGGGAAACTGAGGTCAATAACAAAGAAAGCAACTCATACTCCCACTTTGTCATCTGCCTTTTGTCGAGCAATGAGAAAATCCTGAACACGTCATTCATTGTCACTTCACGAGATTTTGTTGAATCAAAAATGTCGGTTGCGAGATTCAAAAAGGCACTTTATTAATTTCGTGCGACATTCCATAGCATAAATCATCGTCTTTTGGTGGCCAAGTGTAAATTTTTTGGATTCTATGGTACCTCAGTCAATATAAAAATAATAATATGATACCGATCTTCTTAGATAACCGATTTCAGAGGGTAAATATTGAGTCAGTCATTTCCTTTGGAATACCGCAAGGAAGTGTGCTTGTACCACTGTAAGACATTACAGTGTTCAGTTCTTTGCAGATTATTTCAAAGTTTGTAATCATTTCCATAGTAGCAACATCGAAATAGCCAAATCGGAGGTCAATGAGGATCTTGAATTGATTAGTGACTGCAAAAGGTTATAACTTCAGTTAAACCTCTCAAAATCTAAAATCAACATTTTTTCTCCAAAACTTTTTAGAAATGATATCAAAAATAATTTTAATATAAGGTTATACTATTGAGATAAGTGAATTTGTCAAAACTTTGGGTATTACTTTTGATGAACGCCTTTAGTTTATACCACACATGAACAACTAAAAAAAAATAATTGCTATAAAATCCGCTAAAGAAGGAAAAGTGGATTCGAGCAGAAAATAGGGTAGGTAACCCGAGCGATACGTATTTCTGTTTCTTGGCTTCATCAGGCCCGAAATGAATGCACATATTATGCAACTACAAAAGTATATACACATGCTCATACATCCGGATAAGTGTGTAACCTGAGGAAACAAAGATGGAGGGGGAACAAAACGACACAAGTAACCAACCAGAGCCAACCTACACATTTTGTTCATTATATATTTTTCTCTTTGTCTCTGCATGACCTTTTCTCTCTTTGTAGATCCTTTGAGCTTGAAGTACCACACCAAGTGTACGGGGTAGAAAGTTGTATATGTTATGTCTATAGTATGAGTCGAAGATGTTTATTACGAAGCTTCTGATCCTGATAACAACGGAAGAATTAAGTGATAAAAGTACGATGTACAAGCAGTCACTCGTTGTGGATACATCGGCTTTTCAACAATCACTCGTGGATTCTCATTTGCCCAAATGCGAAAATTCTGCTTGTTAACGAATCCACTGAGGTGAAGGTGTGCCTCATCGCTGAAGATGATTTTCTTCGTAAATTCATTATTCATTCATTCAACCAGCCATTTGGCGTATTGACGACGCTTGAAATGGCCATTTGGCTTCAGCTCCTGAGTCAATTGGACCTTGTAAGCGTGTAAATTCAAATCCTTATTCAAAATTCGCATCAGTGATGTCCGTGAGCAGGATGGCGAGTCGAGGTTGATAGATCTTCTGCCACACTATCGCGAGCAATGTTTTCAGCAAAACGAACTGGGCGAGCATGCACATTTGTTTTCACATCTCCTACATATCCGGTTTGTTGGAATTTGAGCACAATTCTCTCGATTGTGGACACATTTGGCCGATTATGCTGACCAAAAATATCACGAAGCGCACGAAATGCATCTTGACTTGAACGCCCATTTTCATAAAACGCTTCAACAATTTAACGCGCTTCTGGTTAGTTTTAGACATCGCTTGGCGGGGTTAAATATTGTAGGTTACAACCTGTATGCGGTAAATGGTTTCTGGCGCAGAACAGCACGATAAGACACCCCAAAATGAGTCTGTTTTAATTTTTGCCAATGTTTTAGAAACTTTCTGTATATGGCCAATAAATCTATGTCTAATCAACCTTCATTTTATTGCGATCAGTGCCTCTAGACAAGTACATCCACGCAATCACCACAAGCATTTCAGGTGTCCCTGCTCCAAAATTCAATTACTTGTTCTGGTTGCTGGCTGAAATCGTCCTTTATTCCGAGCAGGAAATGGAACTGAACACGAGAAGTGCGGTTTTGTTTGCATAAAGGACTTCCTGCTATCAGAAAGGAAAAAATGGGACGACGGACGTCGCCATATAAACAGGTTCAATTCTTCAGCCCGGTTGACGGCTGTTATTTGTAAGAAGCACGTCAGAGCTACCTTTTTTTGTTTGCTCGTATCGCTCTTCATTTTCAACATTATTAATGGAATGCAATATGTACAACTATGTTTTGTCTTTTTTATACTGTACTTACGTGGCATAAGGAGCATTAAGGTGTGCCCTGTGGCATGTCGAATGCACCGAAGATGCATTGTATACCTTCTGCTCCTTAAATTATGATTTACATATGATAGTGTATGTTCAAGATTTGGTTCTTGTTAGTTTGACATCGGCGAATTAGCTCTATACCAGGTGTTTCAAATTCGACCCTCTGTTGAGGGATCTCGGAAACTATAAGAGATACAATGTCGCTCGAATTTTTTTTTCTTTTTTTAACACCGCGGATGCTATGATGATCCGACAGAAATTTTATTAATGCGATTTTTGAACTGCCTAAGGTTAATAGAACTAGGAAAAGCTTTCTCTAGTAGATTGTTCCACAATCTCGACACCCTCGGGACAAAGGAGCGGTCGTATCGGCCGGTTCTGGATGCACGAAGTTCGACACAGTTAGGATGGGACGCCAAAGTCAGGCGAGTCTGTCTGGCAGGCACATCTCGCGGCGGCATCATGGAAGAGAGCTCTGAGGAGCAAAGCTCGTTGGTGTAAGGGTAGAAAAGATCTAGATCGCCGACAGCCCGCCGGTGCGAAAGAGTCCCGAGACTGTCTGTCAAAGAAGAGTCATCGATCAGTCGGACCATCCTCCTCTAGACAGCATCGAGCATGGATAATGTAGTCGGGGCGGCAGCACCCCAAACGTGTGAGCAATACTTGAGACTAGCCGTTATCTGGGCTTTGTATACAGTGAGAAGGTCATGCGGAGAAAAGTACTTCTTAGCCCTAAACAAATAGCCTAGCTTTTTCCCAGCGGCAGTAGCTATTGGCGAGATGTGTTCGAGCCAGATCAGGGCCTCGGTGATCTGGACTCCGACCAGCCGAAATCTCTCTTGTCAAACACTAAGTCATCGCTAGTCTTCTTTTTTCCAACTCAGCGGCAGAGATCGGCTTGTCACTCTGAATTCATCAGCGAAACTGTGGATTGGGTTAATCGTACAGGAAATGAGGTCGTTGATATGTAAGAGAAACAGTGTCGGAACCAAGACCGATCCCTGGGAGGTCCCCTGTGGATCGTTGGTGTCGGAAACCATACTGCCTGTCGCTAATCAAGCCGTGACGTTCGAGGTAGTCCAGAAGCTCACGATTTATGCACCTCTCATCACCTTACTTATAACAGAAAGCAGAGCTATAGGTCTGCAGTTGTAAGGGTCGGTTTCAGATCCTTTTTTGGGATGGGTTGGACATGAGCACATTGAATTGACGGCACTTGGGCGTTGGTGGGGACGTCCATGGTGGAGTTGGCAGCAAAGATCTTGGCTAGCACTTCCGCCTTGGCCTTTGAATTGATAGCAATAGTTCCATCCTGACACGTAAGTGGTGGAAGGCTACTTACTGTGCGAGAAGTTCTTTTCAATCTGCTTGGCCAGCGTCCAGAAAGACCGACTGCCATTGCGCTGCGACATTACCGTGTCCCTAACTTTTATATCGTGCTGGGTTCTAGCATTACGAACCGCTGCTTTATATTTGTTTCTGGACTCAACGTCGGCTTGTCTGTTCTCTACGGTGGGGTTTTGTAAGAATGTTCTGTGTGCCTTGATCTTCTGCTGGCGAGCTGCGTCACATGATTTGTTAAACCAACCGTTGTATCCTGGTCTAGGCACTTTCAGTGTGTGAGGGATGTATTCCTCCATTCCGACGTGGATAATTTCGGTTATCGAAGAACAGACAGCCGACGCATCCGCGTCAGCGAAACAGACATATTTCCAAGGAAAGCTGGAGAAGAAGTCTCTGAGCCCCTCCCAGTCGACATGTCCGTAATGCTAAGTCTTGCGGCCTGTACGAGTTTCTGCTGCCACAGCGGGTTCTGACCGAAATCTAACCTCCACAACACCGTGGTCTGAGTTACCCAGGGAGTACAGGACAGCAGTGCTGTAAGGGACAGGATGTGTGGTCATAAAGAGATCCAGCAGGCGTGTGACGAGACGCGGGGAAAAAAGTAGGGCTCATCACCAGCTGAGTCAGCCCTTGGGTAAGAGCGAACGCTTCGACTGCACTACCTGCTGCATCGGTCTTGTTTGAGCCCAACTAAAGCTCATTATGGGCATTGAAATCACCGAGAACTACCTCTGAAGCGGGATGATTGATGTTCAGGAAGTCGAGGACGGCGAGGTATTCGAGTAGGTCATCACAGTTATGGTCCGAGGGAGAGCGATAAAGACAGCAAATAAATTTGGGTGATTTTTTGGAGTTGAGGCAAAGCCACAGAATGTCCTTCAGGTCTGATTCCAAAGAAACATCTCTGGAGCAGGAAAGACCGCTGCGGACAAAAGCCACAACTCCCCCGTTCTTTCTCAGATTGGAGTGCACCTCGTAGTTTGGGAAGTTAAGATGGTTAATCGGTGCAGACTCTGAGATTTTTGTCTCCGCCAAGAAAACCACGGCGGGACGATTGTATTGCAGGTAGTGATGAACAGCATCAATGTTGCTGTTAATCCCGCAGATGTTCGAAAAACGAATTTTATCATCGATGTTGTTCCCTCGAGACCACCCTCCACCCGGACATTCAGAGAGTGGAGTGAGTTTACCTCGGGAGTTCTTAGTGCTCGAGGATCCATCATCATTAGTTCCTTTGTTTTGGAAGATAACCGACTGCATAGCTTAGGTGTGGAAACATGCGGACATTATACCACCTTCTTTTTATGTGTTAGTGATGTTAAATAGACCTAAAGTGGCCCGTTGGCGAGCTTGTACCGCCACCCGACAATCGGTACTGAGGTATTCCTTAACGCGTGTATAATCACTTGAACGGGAAGAAGTTGTATACCGGATACAACAAGTTCCGGAACCAGCATTTGCCACGGCCCCGCTCAGTAGGAGCAAAGTTGCGTATTTAGGTAACTAACAAAATGCGGTATAAACATTTTTGAAATTCAAAGTACTTCCGAAGGCAGACGAAAAAAACTTAGTTTCCCCAAAGTCACTTTAATATTTTCCTGACTTTATCTGTAATAGGTTTTCAAAATAAATTACACACTAACATTGCCACTTTTCCTCCTCTACAAAATGGCACAATTAGAATTTCAATATGACGTTTTGTCTCTTGTCCTCCAGCATCAACTTTATTTTCTCTTGAGGACGCCATATTGAATTTTTGTACAGGTGAATAGAGTTCCTAATTCTGGATCCAATAATGTATAATATGTTAAGCTTTGACGTTGTTACCCAACTAGCAAAGTAGTGGTATAAGCTTTTGGTAAAAGAACCGTTCAGCCATAAAAGCTCTCTATTGTTGTTGCCTGAAGACCAAAATGCTGGCTTAATGGCGTGGACTGCAAATTTGCTTTCTGCAACATATTTGCTCTAAAATGAGGCGTTTAAAATATTCTTATAGCATAGTTATACAACACCTTATAGGGCAAATTTTTAACTGCTGCATAAACGTTTATACAACTATTTTATACGGCATATTTGCAAGTTAGTCAAAATGGTTATGTTGTGACATTCATGGTAACGTTTATAACACAAACCTGAGCCTTGTTGTTTTGCTGTGCAATTTACTACTTTAGCCAACAAATTGCTCCCAACGGAACCACTTATACACCTGTTGTTTAGTAACTGTTAAATGCTGTACATATGCTAAATAAGTTGGTAAACAACTTCACCATAACCTAACTTTCTGCTGTCATATTTTTGTTAAAATGCCATAACCAATGTTTGAAGACAAACAACGCATGCATATTGGTTCAAAAGGTTTTATCAATTGTTCAAACAGAAGATATAGATCTGGTACAAATTCTGGGTAAATCATTCGACTCTGTCGATATTTCATTTCAGACATTTGTCAAATTGTTGTATAACACCTGCAGGCAACACCAAAATATTCTAATAACCTAAAGACAACATGGACGATGCCATGATTGTACACAACCACCCGCCATATTGGGCAAACATTTATTCCTCTATTTAATATTAAATAATTATGTTTCAGTTCGAAATTACAGATATAAAGTGATAAAAATTAGTGTAATTGTGTCTAAATATAGGATTTGTGGAAGATTTAACGCAGATAAGTTCAGTTTTCCATCTTAAAAATCTAGACATACTTTTGATCATTGTCAAAATATGAATCAAATACGAAGCCCATAGAAATTGGGTAACTAATTTGCACGATAATCACAATAAAATTTGCTGCGCAAGTAATTCAATAGCCTTATATCACAGTGTAGAAGTTATCATACATACCTGTGTATGAAATTCTCAATGGCCGATATGTAAGTAAACAAGATGACTGTAATGTGTTAGTTATATATTCTTCACTTGGTCTATGCAATACACAAGAAATATTTTGGTTGCAATAAAGCAGAATCAGAATAGTTGTATAGTTGACAAAAACTGAATGCAGCCCTTATACAACCTCTGACTGAAGTGTCCTATTAGGTGTGCCCATTCCGCTTGTATAGCTGTTCTAAAAGGGTTTTGCCAATGTTCTTACAGTATACAATGCTGTTTAAGGAATACTGTATAATCATTCTTGCAACTCTAATATGAGTGATAATTGTTAGTTGGGTAAGCCTTAGTTATTTCAAAATAACAGAATTTTCTAGGTAGCCCTTGAAATTATCAGATAGTCATTTGTTTCATATACCAGATTTATGGCAAAATCATTATTATTTGTTCATGCATTTATTTGACAAAATAAATTGCTTGGTGTTAATGCTACTTTTTCTCCTCTACAAGATGCCGTAGTCAAATTTTAGGCACGAGGTTTCTTCCTCCTGCTTCCGTCACCAGCTTTGCCTTTTCGTATGGTCACTATATTGGAATTTTCTACATAGATATAATAGATTTTGTCAGACCTAGTTCTGCGGCATGTTTTCTTAATTTGTAAAAGGAATGAAAATTATGAGGAAAGAAAAAGGTAAAGCCTGAAACACAAACTGAAAATCTTATTGATGGTAGTTACAGTAATAATAAATAAGTCTTTCATCATACGTGCTACAAACTTATTTGTAAAGCCTACCGTATTTTGATAATAATTGTCACCAGTCCTACGACATTTAAAATTGATCTGTTGAGAAAGTTTACATCATAAGGAAGAAATATACCCCTGGGAACATTGGTGAGGTATCTGCTCGCTTGCATATCAGTTTCGGCGGTTTTGATCTTTAGAACCTGACATACAATTTTTGACAATCAAATTCACGAGAAGTTAAAGTAAGAGAAGTCAGAAATCAGGTAAAAGTGCTGTACTGAGTGTTACTCTAGACTGAAAATCGAAAATGAGCAAGAAGAAGATGGTAAAAATCAAGTGGATAGCCATAAAATTATAGTCAATAAAAATGAAAATGATTTAGGAACAGCACAAAATCAAGAAACTCGGACGATAATAAATAATGACAAAAATACGGAAGCAGCACTTAAACAAGAAGTTAAGTCACTTAATGAGAAAATTGAACTACTGAGTGAATTACTAGCTGAAAAAGATAGGCTAGTTCATCAATTGTCCAATGAGTCCAAGAGCACTACGATCTATTAGCCGCCAAGGTCGTAGAAAAGGACACTATTATCAGCACACTGAAAGACTAAATACACGAATGGAAGTATCTGAAAAATCAACCGCAACTAACATCTTTGAAAAGCATAATCATTACACCTGATCAACACCAGCCAAACTACAAGACCAGATATGATCTCAACAAAAACTTAGACCTCTCGAAACCTATATAATTATAAAACAAAATCACATTGTGGCTAACGGAGATATATCCATTACTCATATTATGCTGCGCATAAAAAATTTTACATTATTTTTGCTGAAGTGACAGGTAAATTATTTAGATATATTTTTGATAATAACAACGGAAATTTTTTATTAGGATTTGAAAATAATTATTATCGTTTATGACAACAATATAGCATCACAATATAATAATTGCTCAAGGTTTAATCATTCAACGAAAAAATGTCAAAATTGTAAACTATGTTCAAAATGTGGAGAAAACCAGGACATTTCCTCCTGCAATCAATCAACCACCAAATGTTGTAACTGTGCGTCTGCCAACCACAAGTACAACAAACAATATGACACAAATCATGATAGAACTGATAAAAAATGCCCAAATTTCAAATTCTTCCAACAACAACACATATCACGAGTTTTATTTTGAGAGGTGGATCTTATATACAAAATTTAATTCTAAATTATGAAAGAAAACAAACCTTTTAAATTTGGTCACTTAAATATTCGGTCTCTAGTACCTTCTCTATCTGGTTTTGCCTACAGGTTGGAAAATTCTGATTATGATATTTTAGCTCTAACCGAAACATGGCTCAATAAAAACATATTAGTTATTCTTGTGTTTATTCAAGGATATACATTCTATCGAAAAGATAGGGAGAGTCGCGGTGGAAGCGTGGGCATTTACGTGAGAAATGGTTTGCTCTGTAAAGAATTGCAGATTGAGAACCATATTGGCCACTTTCCTAGTGTTGAGAATATGTGGATTAAATTGACATTATGTGGTCAAACTCTTGCCTTTGGGGTAATTTACCGACCTCCCCATAACAATGTTAATCAAGCCATTGATTTTTTTTGATAACGCTCTTTCTTTTCTGGTACCCAACTTTGATTATGTTTGTAGTTGTTGGAGATATGAATTTAAATCTTTTAAGTTCAGATTTAGACAATTGTTTTAGTGCATATGCATTCCATCAAGTTATTATAGAACCCTCTAGAATAACTAGTACTTCGAGCAGCCGACTGGATCCCATATTTATCAATGATCTTCAAGTCTGTTAAAATTCTGGAACTATAAATATGGATTTATTTACCGATCATTTTTTAGTATTTTGTGAAACAACTTTGCAGTCTAAAAAACCTAAGCAAAAATTCGTTAAATTCAGAGACTTTAAAAATTTTTATATTTTATCATTTCAAAATGAATAGAGAGTATTGATCACAAAATTTCATATTTGACAGATGGGTTAAAATTAATTTTTGATAAGCATGCACCCTGGCTATTATCCCAGCTTAAACGTATGATGAAAGACAGAGACAGAGCTTTAAATCAGTTTAAAATTAATAAGACAGAAGATTCCTGGAAGAGCTCAGAAATTCAACTTTGAGTCAAATTAGATATGAAAAAGCAGCATATTTATTATCCCTCCGTCAACAAAATGATTCAAAAATGTTATATAGATCCTTAAAATCAATGCGTATCCAACAGTCACAAAATACCGATATTCCTCTACATTTAAAGAACCCTACTGACATTAATAATTATTTCTGTTCCATTTTTAATAACGCCATTTGTTCATGCACAGAGAAGATTGAGGATTATGAAAAGAATCACTATTCTAGTGATCGATTCAAGTTTAAACCAATCGATATGACTGATTTGAAATCGATGTTCCAGTCTCTGAAATCGAATGCCTTCGGAAGCGATGGCGTGTCACTCAAAATGCTAAAACTATGCTTCTTTGCGATTTCAGGTCACATTTTACACATCATCAATACCTGTTTAGAAAGGGGATTCCATCTAGAATCATAGAAAGAAGCATTAGTGTTACCTCTAGCTAAAATAAGCAAGCCAAAATTATATTCTGATTTAAGACCAATTAGTATTTTACCTGTTTTGTCCAAATTATTAGAAAAAGCAATAATGTACGCCCAAATTTACGATTATCTCTCTAAACATAAAATTTTGCCTCCCAAACAATGCGGTTATCAAAAATGATATAACACTGCAGGTGCCCTATTAGACTTAACCGATAACATTGTTAGAGCCTGGGATCAACATATGATCACATCATTAGTTCTTCTTGACTTCTCTAAGGCATTCGATACCATAAATGATCGTCTTTTAGTAGCCAAGTGCAAATATTTTGGTTTTTCTGACTCTGCCTCAAAAATGATTCAGAGCTTCTTAGGAAATCGATATCAAAGGGTACACATTGACATGGTTCTATCTTCAAAGTGCCTCATTTCCTCCTGAGTGCCTCAAGGGTCTGTATTTGGGCCACTCCTATTCATTTTGTATATTTCTGATCTCCATCCAGTTGTTAAATATTTTAATATCCAATTCTTTGCCGACGATTCACAGATCTACGGTCATTTCCATAATCACGGCATTCGAAATGCTGAATCTCAGGTAAATGAAGATATAACATCTATAAGTATGTATGCAATAAATCATAACCTTCATCATTTTTTCACCAAAACTATATAGAAGTGATGCCAAAAGAAATTCTAAAGTAAAATTAAATGGTGAGACTATAGAAGTAAGTGAGTCAGTAAAAAACTTGGGCGTCACTTTAGATGAATGTCTAAATTTTATACCACATGTAAATAATATCAGTAAGAGTTTTTTTTCAATTTTACGTCAATTATATCTTAATAAACAATTTCTTGACTATACAACTAAAAAAAATTTGTGTGAATCTTTGGTAATGTCCAAAATTAGTTATTGCGATTTAGTTTATCTTCCATTTCTGGACTCAATATCTCTAGCACGTCTCCAAAAAATCCAAAACTCATGTTGTAGGTTGCTTAATAATTTGAAAAAATATGATCATATCAGCCCTTTTTTCAATGACATGAAGTGGTTGAGAGTAAATGAACTGTGTGAGCTACACCTAGTTACTTACACCCACAGGCTTTTACTGTCATCCATTCCGCCGTTTTTGAGAAATAAGCTGATATCTAGAAGCAATATCCATTCTAGGGACATTCGATTCACTGAAACACTCACAATGCCCCTCCACAGGACATCATTCTTTCGTAAATGCTTCACCTACAACGCAATTATTATTTACAATGCTCTACCTCGATCCACAAAATTGCTATCATATGATGAATTTAAAAGACATATGGAGAAATTTATTTTGAATAGAAGTATAAAATTAGTTGATAAAATTTATGTCACCCCACACAAAAATATTTCCAATATAGCATTCCTTTGTTTTATATCACTGTTACAATTTTATACTTTTAAATCATGAAATATTATTATATATTATTATTATTATTATTATTATTATTATTAAATCATTGCAAATGTCCAAAACGTTGTCTGTTTTTTTTTGTAGACAAAACCAGTCTCTCTTCTGTACAGTGTTCGCTGTTCGGCTCATTTTTTCTCTTATTGGTGTTTCAAACTCTGTTACTATGATCAATTTGAGGTCTTCAAAACTGCCCTGTAAATAAATAGACCACGCCTTAATTTCCTTATAATTTTCATTCGAGCAACAAATTCTTGACTAACTAAGGAAATACACCACTGAATTTAAGACTGGAAACTTTATTTAAATGTAGAAAATTTCAATATAGCGTCCATAACGAACAAATTAGAGTTGGTGATGGAAGTCGAAAGAAGATACCTCGAATTGAAACTACGCCATCTTGTAGAAGAGATACAGTGGTATTAACCGCATGCATTATTTTGAAACTCCATCTCAAATAAAATTAGGGAAAAATAAAAATGGTTTGGTAATATATCTGGTATATGAAGCAAATGGCTAGCTGATAATTTCAAGGCCTACTTAGGAAATTCTGTTTTTTGGAAATAATTAAGGTTTAGCAATGTCAGTGTATGACATATTATACATTTTTAGATCCAGTACTAAAAACTCTATCCACATATACGAAAATCCAATATGGCGTCACTGAGAAAAAGTAAAGGTGATGCTGGACGATAAGAGACTGAACGTCATACTGAAATTCTAATTATGCCATCTTGTAGTGGAGAAAAAGTGGTAATGTTGGTGTGCAATTAATTTTGATACCCCACTAAGAATAAAGCCAGGAAGAAATTAAAAGGATTTTATCAAACTTCGTCCTTGTTCTATCTCCCTCCGAAAGTACTTTTAATTTCGAAATTTTTTAAGCGGCATTTTGTTAGTTACCTAAGAAAGGAACTTTGCTCCTATTTAAGCTACTTCGTATCTCTGACGGTTTCCGAGATCCCAATGGTTATTGTGGAATTTGAAACACCCAGTATACATTATCCACCCTTTCCGGGGTGCCTGAATCTTTATCTGGAAAGGCGCGTTCGAGCTCGGCATGTAACATTGAACTGTCTCAAGAACATTTAGCATTTGTGAAAACCAAGAAACAAGCACTAAGAAATTGGTATTGACGTCAGAGGATCAAAGCAAGCCGGATACACATTTGT